GGGCTGGTGTGGGTAGTTCTCATCTTTGCCCTCGGGGAGTCAGCTCCTCCAGGCTGCAGGGGTTGAGGTGAGTAGGGTTTGTCAGCCCAGTCCCTGACGATTTCACTCAAATCAGGGTGAGCCCAGTGGAGTTCAGTTCCATTCTCAGGGCCCCAGTACTGGTTTGAAACCAGTTTCAAGATTTGAAATCTTGAAAACATTCCCTGGGCAAGGCCTTATGAACCTGTGAGCCCCATCTTAGCACCTATCCATCTTCCAGGAGCCATCCTGTCACACAGGGATACCATGCCGTGAGCATAACTGCTTCTTGCCTTTGCAGCAGTTTGGTTTATAGGAGACACCATTTGGCTCCAACTGCCACGCTTCAGTGAATAATCATTTATATAAAAACGTACCTTTGCGTTTACTTTCTGTGGTGGCTGTTACTAATGGTAATGACTTAAGGGAAACCTGCAGCAACTGAGGCATGAGTTGCCCGTTGACAGTAACGCTTTGGTGCTGGGAGGCGAGTGGGTCCCTGCCAGCCCCGGATCCTTGCGCGCTGGCTGGCTCCGTGCAGGCCGCCCGGTCTGAGGCTGGGGACGGGTTTTCCTCCCGTTAATGGAAGCCCCTTGAACTCCCGCTAAGGGAACACGCGCGATGCAATGCGGCGGCTCCCTCCCTCCTGCCATGCTCCCCGCGCAGGGGGAGCCCCGTCTAGCCCCGCGGCCGCCACCGGATCCCGTCCCCCCCCAAGCCCGAGTTGCGACTCCGCCCGGCGGGACCGCGCCTCCCGCGGACACCCCCCCCCCGCCGTTCCACCGCTGTGGGGACACCGGCGGGGCGGGGCGGGCGGCGGAGGGAGGAGCTGGCGGCGGCGGGCGGGTGGACGCGGCTCGGGGAGCGCCGCGCAGTGCGGAGCGGAGCGCAGCGCACGGGCGGCCGTGAGGGGTCCGGCCGGCAGCACGCAGCCCGCAGCCCGGCCGGGCGGAGCAGCGCGGAGCGGAGCAGCGCGGAGCGGCCGTACCTCCCCTACCCCGGGGATTATACAGGCTTGCGGGGTTGTTTCGGCGGGGCCGGAGGAGCTTGGGGCCGGGCTGCTGCTTCTCCCCGATGGAATTCACCTGAACCGCGGCCGCGGCGAGCCCTGGACGGCGGGAGGGACGGTGCCCCGGCGGGAGCCCGCTTTGTCTCGGGAGAGGACGGGCATGACTTTTTAATACACACATATATCACCCCCCAGAATAAACCCCCCTAAAGCCGAAGAAGCAGCAGACACCCGCCCGGAGGAAAGGACGCCTGGACCGCGGAGGGCGGGCGGGAGGAGCGTTGGCCCCGGGACCCGGAGTTGCCCGCGCTCCGCCGCACATGGTTTTCTTTGTCCTGCTGCCGCTCTGTTAGCGCCCCTCGCACAGCGCGCCCCGATCGCGCTCTCCTCCCTCCCAGGGAACCATCTTTGCGTGAAGAAGGGAGCGGGAAGGATGCCCGCCGCGCGGCCCGCGTGCCCGGCCCTCGGAGTTGTGCCCCGGAGGATTAGTTGGGGTTTGGCTGCGGGGCGTTGAGAGCCGCACTTGGATCGGAGTGTCCCGCACCGCCATGAGCCCCGCGCCGGCAGCCGCCGTTACCCCGCTGCGAGCAGGTAAAAGCCGCTTCCCCCCGCGGGGCCGGGCAGCGGGGCCCGGCTCGGTTCAGGGTCCTCGCGGGGTGAAGTCGGGCCGCCGGGGCCGGGGTGCCGAGGGGCTCCGCGGTAGTTCCGCGGGCAGGTGCGCGGCGGCCGGGGCCGGTGCAAGTGGTGCGGCGGGGACCGTGCCAGGAATGAGTCAAGCTGCGCTGCCTGGACAGGAAACATTTTAGTCATCCATGCGCTTGAATGACAGCGCAGCCCTTGATGGGGAAAACGCTCTTTAGGTCATATTTTTATTTTAATTATTCCCCCCATTATTTTTTTTTTAGCTCGGGGATTGCTGATTTGTTCATTCCCCGTTGCAAAAGGTTGAGCTGTGCCTGGTAACAAGGGGGTTTCTAAAGGAAAAGGGCCCAAGCGCACGGAAGGAGCTGTTCGTAGCCGGCGCTGGGTTTCGTTCGGAGCTGGGCACAGAGCAGCTCGGCTCCGGGACAGCCGCTGTGCGCCGTGTCCCGGAACGGAGCGCTGCCAACAGTGTCTTCCGTCATCTGCTCCAGTCAGACCTGGAGGTGATCAGGGGGAAGGGGAAAGAAAAGGGAGTTTAGCTTGTCTCGTGTGAAAGGGACAGCCAAGCTCCCCTCCGCGGCTGGAACACTGAGGTCTGACCACGTTGCCTTGAAGCGCCCAGCGTGGGCATAAAGGCACTTTGTTGCCTGCAGAGGTTGCTGTCAGTGCAGCGGGGATGTTAGGTCAGCACTGCAAAGGCGCTGCGTGTCACCCGTCTGTCTCAGCGCCGAGTTGTTGGGGTTTCTCTAAATTTATTTGGCTTTTTGCTGCTCCAGTGTTGTTCCTTTAGTGCTGTTGATGATGTGACTCCCTAAGTCCAAAAAAGGAGGAGTTGCATGGAAATGGATAGCGTATCATTCTGCTGGCAGAGGTTGTATTCACTCCTGCATCGCTGGTGCCGTGCCCGAAGTGCTGTTCTCAGTTTAAAGTCAAATTTTCAAGTACTGGACCAGGCCGTCACGTTCCATCTTGCTGTTCAAGCCAGTAAAATGGAGTTTGGGTTATTCTGATGGTAACCCAAGCAGTGGGGTTCTCTCAAGTTGCTCTTCCACTCAGCAGCGTGTGGTCAGTAATGCAGAGGGAGACCGGCTCTCGGGCAAGCTTTGTCTTTGTCAAATGACTCCTTCTTTAGTTACCCGTTGTGCTGAGAATCGTCTCCCACTTTGCCTGCGAGGGCTTCTCAGCCAGGGTGTATTTATTGTGCAGCACGCTATGTCCGAGAAGTGCCACTTCCCGATCGCACAGCCGTGTTCGTGACTGGTTTGTGCCTGGTTTGTGCCATAGCACAGATTTTGTCTGGAAAACGGTGGCTTAAACCCGAGCTGTGTGTTTAGGCTTGGTGTTAGAGCAAACTTCTTAACAGAAAATGTTTTTCTAGTGTTTGGAAAAACCAAGCAAATGGGAAACTTGGAGCTTCCCTGCGCTGTTTTGTTTTGACACAGTAAAATGAAGTAATAGCTGCAACTGGAAGAAGTTTGAGTATTTAATACTGGATTTGCTTTCTAAAAAGAAAGAATTGTTTTGAGAGTTTTGCCTTCTGAGAGGAACTGCAATGAAAAAGGCAACAACAGATGAAATTCCCTGGCAAAGGTTGCTAGTTTTCATCATGGTTTTCAAGGTTAAGAAAGCATTGAGCAGCTCTGAATTTGTTGGACTAATACTGGACTGCCCTTGAAGCACATGGCCTGCTTGATCTTTGAAATTTGTGCATTATTCACATATTTTCCTTAATTTAGAGAAAGTCATCACTGAGCCATAAATCCATCATTGGGTAATAAATCCCAGTGTTTACAAGGTATTTAATCGAGAAGAAATACACCAGCCCTGCTTTTAAATAAGCCAACAGTAATCTAGTAAAATCTGTCTAGAAGCCTGAAAAGAAAGAATAAAGCCATTTTTAATAATTAACCATAGAAATCCTCTATGTTGTTAACTTAAGGGCAGACAAATTATTTCAGTGTCTTGGTACACGGGGTTACAGAGTCTGAACTGTATCTACTTATTTATCGGTAATTCCACATCGACGTTTTCAGTGCAGTTGAGGCATAGATGGTGCTTGCCTGATGGGTTTTATCTGGGTTTGAAGTGAGAAATTCCTTCCCTTTAACAAAAACAAAAAGGAACACAGCCTGCTTTAGGATGTGCTTTTATATGTTTTGCCTGAATCCAGAGAAAACCATTCCCTAAGAGAAGAGGAGAATCTGTCTTGAGTATTGTATTTTATCCCCGTTTGCAGTATTTCATTACTGAACACGTTTCTTTTGCTGTGTTTTCAACAAGAAGATTATCTGCGGGGTTGGATCCAAGGTACAGCCCCAAATGAAAGAGTTCTCTGCATTCTGTGAATGTGTAGGTGGTGGAAATCAAAGCTTTAGATGCGTGTATGTGTGTATTCTGTTTGTGCACCAACACAGCAGAGCACAGAGGCATAAACTTCATGCTTTGTGCTTTGGGGCTCGGGATGTTTGTCAAATTGACATTTGCAGTGATATCTTCCCCCGCCTGGTTTCTTGCCATAGTAGTCTCTGAAAGGGAAGCTCAGTGTTTTTGTGTGCAACTTAAAGAAGGCGTTTTAATAATGGGTAGAAAGGTTAACCGGTGTGCTTGCGTGCAAACAGCAGTAGTAGGTGAGGGAGTAATGCAATATTAGGAGGAAAATCCTCCCACAAATAAAGGTGGTTTGATGAAAAAATGAAATACATGATGAATTTATACAGTGTGGTGTCAGGAATCAGTTGTTCACATGGAGGTGAATCTTGCATAGAAATACTAAGCACTAACATACTTGTTCGTATTCATAGAGTTTGTAAGAGCAATTCTCAAATCACTAACTGAAGTTATTAGCACTGCTCCAAAGACGGTAAAATCAGATGCTTGACACAGTAGTGTCTCCAAAAATACTTTAGAAATTAATTGAGAAATCTGCAGTTCTGCAAATTCCCCAAACTGGGGTGTTTGCTTCCAAATGGTGACTCTTCTCCATTGCAAAACCAATGTCAAAACGTATCGGATAATTCCAGTGAAAAAAAAAAAAAAAAGGTTTTGTGCAGCTAATATGTTGAATAAAAAAAGAAATAAAATCATTTCTTTATTATCTAGAACCTTTCCAAATAAATAGCTGCACTGCAGGGCGGTGAAGCACAGCCAAACAGCACCACCTCATGGCCATTCTCCTCCGAGGCTGCAGCTTCCACCCGCTCCCTTGCTTTTTGTCACCTGATGTGTTTCTCTACAATATCCATCTCGGTGCGTGTGTATAAATACACCACATGCCTTTGAAAGCTCTCCCTTGTACAAAACGTAACCTTTCTTTTTTCTATTGGTCTTTCAGGCATCTGATGCCAGTTCTGAAAAACTGTTCAACGCTGTTACAAAGAAAGGTAAGGCTGCAATTCACATCACAAACATATTCCCCCCCCCAACACATTTCTTTTCATGGCAGTTTCAATGGGAGATGAAATGTAACTTGTCTCGCAGAAATGTTGCAATCAGCTTGTTAGTGCTTTTTATGTTTCTGTGGGTTTCAGACATGTTCTGTATGCTTGGTAATTGCTTTGCTTAATATAAAATATAGGCTTTAAATAATGCATTGCCTGCCAGGTCAGAATTAATTTAAATAACAATATTAGGGAATAGTTTATTTTACAAATGGCTTTAATTTAAGCTCATTTAAATAACTGTAAGAGTTTTCAAAATGTTTTAACTTGATTGTTACTCATCAGCTACATGATAGACGTGGAATTATGAATAGCCAATTTGCACTGCTGACAGTAATAACCAGCCAACATTTAGTATTCACAAGATAATAGTCATAAACCATGGCTTACTGTGCTGTGTGCTTTCTGTAGAGTTAATAAATGATATAGAGGGCCACATTTAAATATCCAGTATTGCATTAATTTCTTCCAAACAGCAATCCAAAGAGAGAGTGGCTAGTGATACAACAGTACATTAAGGGAAAACTTGCCCTAAATCAGTGCCAGTGAGCTTCTGTGCAGAGCTCGTCCTGAAGCAGCCTTATATGAAAGACTGGAGGCTTTAGGGAATTTTAATCCTTATTTCTGGTTTGGTCTGTGCGTTTGGAAGGAGGATCGAGGGAGCAGCTCCAGGCATGAGTTACACCGACAGGTATAATTCAAAGCCTTTAAAATGCGTCTGGTTTTTACCCCTCTGTCCTTCTACTTAATGACAGCTCGTTATAACCGCTGAGTAAAAGGGTGTGCTTCTAGCTTAGGTTAAAACAAACATTGTATTTTAGCTCACTGGGGTTTTGGAACCTTTGAGTCAGTTTGCATTAGAAGAGGCAGCTGTGATTAGTTTGAAATTTAGGTTTTTCTTGTTGACCAGGTGTGGATTTGCTTAGTATTTGTGTGCTTCTGACTGGCTTTGGGTTTGTTATTCCACTGGGTCATTGTGGTGGGGTTTTGTGGCTTTTAATTCCACAAAGCTGCAGTGGTTTAACTGGGGACAGTGCGTGACCTCGGTACATGTGGGATTCCTGTGCTGATATACCATGCTTCTGAAATCTTTTGCTGCATATTGAGTTATACCTATATTTAATTGTGTTAAGGCTCCATATTCTGTTTTTCATGTATTAGCATCCTCTGGAAGTACAGTCTGGATTATTTCTGTGGTCTAACTAGGTTATCTCACTTGGCAAGCTTATCTGTCCTTTCTGATTAACTGCATTTGCAGGTTCCCCCTCGGCCCCTCCATAGGCGGAGGAGAGGTGGCCAGGAGGAGGAGAAAGGGCGAGTTGTGTGTTTGGAGTGACCCAAGGCCCCCAAACTACATGTGACTGCATCTTTAGTTTGCTAATTCGCTGTAAAAAGCTTTGGCACTTGAACAGCCCTTTCCTGGGGCTCGGCCAGGGCGAGGAGAAGCAGTGAATCCACATTCCTGGCAAAGGCCTGTAACTAGGGTGAGGGACTCTCCTCCCTCCCCCAGGAGGTGATTGATGAAGAGTAGGCCCCTCTTCCTCTTCCTTTTGCTTTCTTTCTCTTTCTTTTTGAATCAAACACATTTCCCACATTCTTATTTTTGTTTACTTACCCGAGCTTGATTCGTGGCATCTATTTGGTTGTGAATACCCATGCTTGACAGGGAGCCTTTTCTTCCGAGGTACTTTTCTTTGGTGATTTAGTTCCCTTGAAAGGATTAGGCTTTCTTTGTGTAGCCTAAAATCAACACCGGCTTTTGGAAGCTTTGCTTGGGAAACCGTACACAAATAAGCTTTTTAGTTGATGGTAGATTATTCCTTTGCCCCTTATTTCCATCAAAATGGCGTCTGTCTTTTCTCCTCCTGAGTTTCCCCTTAAAGCCATATGCTAATTCCTGTTGGTAACATGAATGACAAGGGAAGAATCAATGCAAATCCAGGTGCGGCCAAACTAGGCTGACTGGTATTTTCTTTTTCTCCCCCCCCCCCCCCTTTTTTTCCACTGGGAGAAAGAGATTAAGGGGAAAGAGGGCAGAAAAAAGCAAAGGGAACAGTTTTGTTAAAGGGATTAGCATTCAAACTACTAAATATCGGGAAAAGAGCCTCAGAAAAGATCTGCTGTGTGGAGATAATGTCAATAATTGCTTGCAGCCAGGTGCAGGGGCTCTCCGAGGTGGTTGGGAGGCTGTTGCCTTCCCTAAGTGTCTGCCTTGGGGATGGCTGATGACTGCCCAGGCGCTGTCAGTTTGATATATTCCAAGTTCAAGTTCCCTCTCTGCAATTCAGTCTATTTGCTTCCAAGCCAGCTCTCTCCCCCCCCCGCCCCCGCTGTGTTGTCCGTGGTTGCTTTTGCCAAAAGCAATAAAAGTCGCTTGTAAGAAAGGTCAGATCTGCATTGGGTAAATCATGATGAAACCTTCAAAGCCTCCTGGCTGATGGGCCAGGCTGGGAGGGCTCGGCAGGCTGACAAGTGGACATACCTCCGTGTCCAGAGCCGCTCCTCTCCCGTGTCCTGCAGATACCCACTGGATGTCTCGCACATCCTCTTCTTTTCTCCTTGCAGAATTACTGATAGCTGAGGTAGCAGAAATTACAGAGGTGTTTACAAAGCAGGTGGAAATCCTGAAGCATTTTAGGTCTTGTATATGTATTTTGTCCCCCTTTCTGTCATTTAGCTGTAGACTTCAAGGCTGAAGACGAGATGAAGCCCAGGCTTTGGTGGATTAGTGTGGATGTGTAATGCTGAGCAGTGCTTTCCTCGGAAATACTAACAACTAAAATACCTAGAGCAAAGTGAAATCCCTCCTAGAACCCCCCTGAAGAGATGGTAAAACCCCTTGACAAGTGTCTCATCTTCCATTCTGGAGCTAGCTGGTCTTCGAGCTATATGGGAAGATGCCTCCCTAAATGTAGAAGGGTCCTCTGAGTTTTGGGTACAGTATGTGGATGTTGAGGCCTCTCAGTGCTGGGCTACGTGCCATAGCCGAGCAGTGCTGCGTTGGAGAGGGTTATAGGGATCCCTACCAGCTCTGTGCTGCCACCATTCCCAGAGGTCCGCAGCCTTCTGCCGTGTCTGCAGCAGGGCTGGGAACTCGGGAGGGATGTGGTTGGACCGCAGGGCAGGAATCACTGCAGCTGCTGCTGAAATGAGTTGTCCCTGGTCACTAATCGGATCCCTGTGCTCCCTCACTTGGGCAGGAACACCTCACCTTGCAATGTTTAGAATTCTCTAGGAGATGATTCCCATGGAAATCCAGGTGGCTGTGCTGGGAGGTAATCACCCAGGGGTCGGGGCCCTTGTGAATGCCGGAGAAAGGGGCTGTTAACATCTGAATAAATGAGATGGGTAAGGGATGGAGGAGGAGTGTATCACCCACCTGCAGCTCCCTGTCTGTCCCCTCCCTACCTGCACACTGAGCCTTCCAGTTTGGGAGTGCTGCTTACAGTCTTTATGTCTTTGAACAAGCATAACCTTTTCTGAGAGCATCAACTTCAGCACCATTAATCCTGGCTGAAACACAGGTTTTGTTCAGGAATTTTTGTAACACTACTTCAGCATAATGAAATTCCATTATCTCTTAATAATTTAAATAGGCACATCTGAAGCTGTAGCGCAGGCAGCTCCTACTATTACGATGTATTTCATTTATGCTAACTCCCTCCCACATAGCCTTGGAAAACAGCTTTTCCTGGAGGGAGAAATGAGTCCCAAAGTGATGAAGTTTTCATTTGTGCTGTATACTGAAGCTTGCCTTTGATCAGGAACACAATTGGGCTGTTACAGCTTTTTACATTCAAATTGTTTACAGGATGTTCATGTAAACTTGATGAATCCTTCTGCTTCCTGGCACCACCAGCTGTCAGGGAAATATTTATACTCTCAGCTGGAGGTAGATCAAGGCGTCTGGGTTACGAGTCTTCACTGGTGGCTGAAATACCAGTCAGATCAAGCCCTGGCTTTTTAGATGGCTCTACAGCAATATCCTTCCCTAGAAAAACAGACACATTGTTGTTTCTTGTCTGTCTGTGGTGAATCATTTCTTGAGGATCCTCCACAACATCTGCTTCTGTAAACAAGCAGGGAGCTACACTTGGCAAATATTTCTCTGCCGATCCCTTAGCTGTGGAGAAGTGCTCTCGCTCTCCCTAAGTAAACCATCCCCACAGCATCTCACATTGAGTATAAGTGGATTCACCACTACATAGATAGCGTGTGTGCAGTATTAACGTGTTCAGTATACTAGAGAACTGGCTGCTGCTGTCTCCCTCCTCGCCAGGTGTCTGTAGGAATCTATGTAACATCCTCACTCCCTTGGTTCTTAGTGTTCCTCTTGAATTTTTGGGGCGCTGCTGTCTCCATGGGTTGGCCTTGATGCACCGGAGGGCTCTGTGGTTGGACTGGAGGCACTCCATGTTGTTTCTCTGTAGTGTAAAGCTTCTTGCTACTAGCTTGCTGTTAGGGCTGCCATCATCAGCCAGCAAACCTCAGGGACTACTGAATCACACCAGCAGTGCTGCAGATTTCTGTCTTTGTGGTTGTTACAATGGCTCAGCCCTCCTGAAGCGACACCCAGACGATGGTGTCTCCTTGCCTTTCCAGTGGAGACTTCCCTGGTGGCTTTGGATCACTTGGTTTGCCTGTGTTTTCTGGGTTTCAAATGGCTTTTCAATATTTTCCATGTGAAAGTTCAGTGTCTCATTAGTGAGGGACTCGGCACTGCACAAAGCCTCTGGTTTTGAGGACCCCAGGTTTCTTGTGCCTGTGAGTTAGATTAGAAGAACTGGTGCATTGCTTCACTCTGACTTCCAAGTCAGGCAGACAAATTGATGTATGTCTCGAGATGGTTCTTTGTTCTGGTACACAAAAGAGCAAGGCAGTTATTTCTGTGCCATGAAGGCTTTATGTGAGCAAGGGATTTGTTCCATAACATCCTCATAAAG